CCCCCCAACAAAAGGCTACAACTGACCTGGCCTCCTCGTACAGCTGTTCGAACTCGTCAAACTCAGTGGGCACGACGAGCCTCTGTGTGCGCAGGTAGTTGAGGATGTAGCGGAAGAGCTTGCCGTCCCTGTCGATGAAGTAGTGCTGCTTCAGTGTGTCCAGCACGATGGGGATGCTGCCGTTGAACATCCTTGCCAGTTTGGACTCAGGGAATCTGCACGAATCAAAACATCAATGTTACAATTTTGTCCACACGTTGACTTTAGTTTTAGTTTTAGTAGAGGTTTTACAGCGCTCGCAACTGTATAAGGTCATATGAGCGCCAGAAAATTAGAGGTTATTACAAGAGAGTAACAAACATAAAAAAGAAAAAGGGGAGATAAGGACGATAGATGTTTGATAGGAAAGAAGAAGCACAGCATACCAGAGCACCCGCCAACCACCCACACACGTTGACTTCGATTTCGGCTTCAGCAAATTTTATAAGTCGGTGTACAGTAATGGGAAAGATTTAAGAAAAGGAGAACATGTTTCGGTTTTACAACAGAATTAGGTCATAATAGGTGCAGAAGATTAGAGGTATTACAAGAGAGTAAAAAATACCAAAACGAGGAGAATCCAAGAAATAGTTACAATAGAGCTTTGATAGGACAGACGGAACAAAACCAAACCAGAGCACCCACCAACCACGTACGAATTGTTTTCAAACCTAACGATTCAAATATACGCTCCAGAGAATCAGTTTGAGAAATGGAGATGTGGCCCAGCAACAACCCAAACACGATTTATACAAAGGATGACCGCGGGCACTCAATCCAGAACGTATTCATCCAGTACGTGTAGCCATCAGCGGCACTGTGTGTAATCCAGCGTTCTTAAGGAACGTCCTCCGATACAGATATTCTATGCATGGATTCTTTCAGACTTTGCCAATAACACAAGCCCTCACAGAGCCGATGCATCATTAGACGTTTTTCGGAGGCAGAAACTTGCTGAAGGTGCCAAAAGTTCAGAAAGCAACATATTATAAGCCCTTAGGGCGTATTGCGTGAATGAGTTCACACTGGAATATTTTTCTTTACTGAAATGGTAGTCTTATACGGGGTGCACACTACGGCTGGATCGGGCCGATCGCCCGACTCGAACACCTGAAACTGAAAACAAACACGTTTGTTTTTGAGGCGATCGAGTCGGGCGATCCGTAGTGGGCACCCCGTATTACATTCCTTAACTGATCGTATGTGTCGCAATCATAGACGTACTATTAATAGAATAGTATATAGTATAGTATAGTAAGTCAATGGTTGCAATAGGCCTTGACAATTGGCTCACTGGCCCTGTCTGATTAAATTGTGCTGCTTTATATCATGCGCCGTTGGATTTGGAACAGTGTTTGAGTAAGAGTTATACAAAACAAAGAACTTTCTTTTCAGGACAAGTGGCAATAAAGTCTTACTAAAAATAAAAAAAAACCCCAAAATACCCACGCAATGTTTATGGGAAAAAGTAATTGTTTCTGTAAGCCTACCCCCTCTCCTCTGTCTGTCTGTCTGTCTGTCTGTCTGTCTGTCTGTCTGTCTGTCTGTCTGTCT